TTTCTGTTTATGAGTGAAACCATCTGGAACTCGGGTACTGGCGCTGGTCCTACACCGGACGATCGCCGTATGGCTGATCAAATGGGCGAGAAATGGACCCAGTTCGCTAAGGACGGGTAGGTAGCTGGAATAGACCATCAAAGTAATACCTACTTAACAATCAACGCTGATATTTCTGAAGTGAACGACCGAGTTAATAGATTACGCAAAGGGAGAGCTGGGAGTAGAAAAAAGTCTTCGCAGAGCTTCCTATGCTCATGAAACGATACGGTTGTGGTAGCAGGAAAACCCTGGACACACTGTATGAAGCTGATGTCTAGCGACCGTTGCAGCAACGAGAAACTTCATGGCACGTTGTCGGCTGCCATACAGTAATCCAAACTTATTTCTGTATAGGACTTAGTTATTAACAGAGCCTGGACAGAGCGTCAATAATCAGGTCTTAGGGATTACTGTGCAAGTGGATACAAAATCCAGAGTAAGATTGAGTGGCTGCGCGTCCTACCTGTGTGGCGTACACAGGCGTCTTGGGCTGTTCCTATCGAAACCTACTCATTTTTTCATACTTTCTTCGTCCACCAGCTTGATAATATTTCCATGGTGGCATAATTTTGGGTACGACATGTAAACCGATTGACTACAAAGTTGTCTGTGGGATCACAGACGCTCTTCTTTTTTTTGCCTCATCGTTGAGGCGAAGGAACAACAGATTCAGAAGTAGATGCCACTCCCACAAAGTAGGGATGCATACATACGTCTGCAGGATAATTAACAAGAATGGAATAAGAATGTAGACGCTTTAAGCGATTCGAAGGAGAGTCAAATGCGAAGTTACCCCTCCTCAAAGTTGATGTGCTAAATTCATTCTTCCCATTTCTAAAGTTGTTGCCAAACACAGACAAATGATTTATTCGTGATGTACTATAATTGCAGGCAAGTATCGAATTGGCAGCCGTCCAATTCCCAAGACTACACCTATTGCAATTTGAATCGACAACCTACTGTACAAAGTGGATATGCTCAGCAAGCACGAAATGTTTTTAATAATCAAGTGGATCCTATTATACAACAGGTGCGTTTGTATGAAAGATTGCCCCGCGACCGCTGTCAGTGAGTAGGGCTTGACTAATTTATAAGGCCTTACCGTATAAATTAGGAAAAATAATTTTAAATTGAATAGCAAGGGATATATTGGGGAAGTTGCTACTCGGATGTCACGAAGTTTCCAAATAGTAATGATAAGACTGTGGTACGGCTTGAGATGTGCTCACGACTTTGTTCGTAGACCCTTCATGCTTGCTCTGATGGTATAATTAACGCTAATTTGGGGGTACACTTTTTAACTTGAAGGAAGGGTGTTAGCTCAGAACAATGCATCAAGTATGGCATTCCTGAAAAACAGTCAAATCTGAGGTTTATGCGACGAAGGGTGCGCTTGGACGAGATTTCTGTCGTGTACAACTGTGCAGGGAGAGAACCATAGCGTTCCTTCTACAAAAAATGTTTTCCACAACCGCCGTGGATCAGAGCCGTGGGCGATCGGCTGTTTTAAAATTTCAGCCATATGTTCTTCATTGTATGAGGCAGCCTCTGCAAGGCCATCAAAACACGGCCACTTTGGGGTGTGGTCTCCAACTTAGCGACTTTGTGCCCCTGCTGCGCCCTGTATAGGCTGTTTTCCGAACCCACAACGTCCCGAGTGGCATGTTTGGGGACCACAGATCGTCCTAGCATAGAATCCAGAAAACTCCTTTTTGTCGTGAACTGTGCCTCATTTCACGTCCGCAAGCGATGCGACTGATTCATTAGCACGCGGCACTTGGGACCTCTTCATGAAGGATTAAGCAACACAAACGAATATCTTTAGCTATTTTGACATAGTTTTCGAACAAAACCGTATCATTTTCAGGCGCATAACACACCTCAGCGCGATCCTCAACCCACGCCAACACCACAGCCGGTCTACTCGCCAACATCTTTCACT